TTGTAGTTAGACAAATGTTCATGAAATAATATCTGAAGAATACCATTGGGTTTGTCGATCACATAGCGATCAACGTATCAAGGTCGTTGGAGCTATTTCGTTAGGAGCATAAGCCATTTATTCTTCAGAATTTCTTTTTCAATCATGCGAAAAAGTAAAATGCCACAGTATTTCAAACTTACCGGTATTTGCACGAATGTACCATTGTTCAATTGAGGATAAGAGTACAGTGGTACCACGGGGACCGAACCGTTCTTTAAAAAAATTGGGCCTTGGATGGGTGTAACATGAGCGTCCCTTGGTATCTCTGGGTCCTTGTCGTCGTAGTAATCGTCGAAGTCGTCGTCGTAGTCCAGAACAGCGTGAATCGAAGTTTTCGTACCAGGCCCACTTTCACCATTAACCCTCGTATACCTTTAACAAAATAAAAAAGAATAATGATTAACTATATTACAAAATATTCTATATTTTCAACGCTAATTTGCGATAATAGACAAAAATGGAAAAATAATTCAGTATTTGTATTATCTTCGATTTCAAATTACCTAAATTACTTAAATTACTTAAATAATAAATAAAAAAGAAAATTAGGTCAATAATTGTATCACGAAGTGCTTTACATCTCCAATTTCGAATTTTATAAATAAAAAAGACAAAAACTTATAATCATAATATTTTCAGTTACAAATTAGGATGACAAACAAAAATATGGAAATAATTATATAATGTTAGAAAACGATTTATATCTTTAGAGTAATAATATGAGCTGAGGTACAGTATATAAACTCGATTTTGAGAAATTTTGAAATTTTGACGTGTATTATTATTTGTCAAATGAAACATCGGCGATACGCAAATTCCTTTGGAGACTATTACTATTATCAGAGTAATTTCGGTTAAATTTCAATTACATTTCAATCACATTTTTGCTGAGAGACGTAAAATTGCTTCTTCGCTTAATAATAATACGTGAAAAAAAAGAAATATTGTGCAACGGGGGCAAGCTATTAAATTAAACGTAAACAAAAATGAAACACAAGGAAAATATACAGGCGTAAAAAGAGCCAGTAAAAAGTGAGGAAATTACGAAAGAATGTAAGTTTAATGGCGGTGCAGGAATCAAAGGGATAACATGGACGTGCTATTTCCACGTTTACCGAGTTCAAAGAAAAGAACGGCGACCTTTCGCGATAATTGACAGTGAGTTTTGGCAAAAAATAGTCTACGGTATAAGACTGACACATTCGTATGAATAACACATATTTGGAGTAATGCAGAACGAAAGGAGCAATATCGTGTGGCTCGATGACATAATTGAGCAGACGGAGGAACGAGAGTGACGGGCGAATACCCGAGTCAGATGTTCGTCAGAAATTCATTAGGAATGCATGGCACGCAACAAGAAATCGTTCAGCTGATCGTTACATAAATAATTACGGGAGCAATTAAGGCTGCTATACGAAACGCTTTCGCTGATTCAGCAGTGAAATATTGATGGAAGTTGGAAGATAGTACAAATTAACTAATTACTCACATTACGCACATAATTGTTGTAAAAAGATAATAAAAGTTCAAGAATAATGTACAAATTATCCTGCTGTTTGATACAATTAATTTGATCCAATTTCCTTGTAATTATAATTATTTTGGTCGGTAGCATTATTTGAAAACTTTTGTATCCAAAGCTTCTACTATTGGAATATAATACAAATGTTCCACTATTGGAAGATTCCACTGTCCAAATGCTGTACTGATGGAATATTCCATTTTTGAAATGGTCTACTGCTACTTCTATTATTGAATTATTCTACTGTAAATACTGTTGAAATATACTACTATTTGAATACTTAAAAGTGTTCTGTTAGCTAAACATTTTACTATTTGAATACTCTATTATCTAAATACTCCATTCCTTAAAGATTCCACCATATGTAATACTTTAATGAAATTTCATAGTTGATATTAAAATGACTTTTAACACTTGTGAGTTTAACTAACGGAATATAAAAAGATACTGTAATACATAATATGATACCCATTTGAATCTTCTCTTTTTGTTATATTATATTATACACACTCAAATTTTTATAATTTTATCATGTTTCTATTTGCATCTAACCGGTAATAGAACGCTAAAGAGTAAACAGAACAAATTACAAATAATCTTAAGAACCAATCAAATAAAATTTGTCTCCATCTTGAAACTTTGTACTTACATCACCCATGCTCAGAGTAAACAATAAAAATAGCAACAAGCAGTAATACAAATAATAACAGCTGCAATAACAATAATAACAATGAAATTAGCAGGAACATTGATTTAAAAATTGCAAACATGAAAATAGGTGAGATTTTGGCAATAAAAAAGACAGAAATATTAAAAAATTACCCATTAGGTCTGTCAGGATAACTCTCCTGTTCCGGCATTCTGGATGTTCTAAAGTTATCTTGATCTCTCTCTACAGGAACTCGCTGCTGTTGTGGCAGTGGTGACCCAGGTCTCATCTGTTGCTGTTGTCGCGGTTGCGTTCTCCTAAAATCTTGATTGTAATTCGCATATCGAGTGTCCTGTGTCGATGAGAAGGACGTGTGTTCGACGAAAGCATTAGTATTTCTCTGTCGATTGAAGGTCGACTGACGTCTCTGCTGTTGCTGCTGCTGCTGTTGCTGATAACCAGTGGGTGGTATGTAAGGTTCGTTTTGAAATGGTTCTTGTTCGTTGAAATTTGGAGCTGGCGCAGGCGGAAGTACGGCATTCAGGCGAAGGTTGTTCACTGTCGACTGTCCTCCGTTTTGTCCACCGTAGAAAAACGGCGTAGGCGTCGCCGACTGATACGGCAAGGTGAAGTTGACCAGTGACATTTTTATATCTCTTCTGTGAACAGGCATAAAGGAATTCTTTCAATCTCTTTGAAGAATTTTAAACATTTTAGGTCTGATACAGATCGGGTTTCTTTTTCCTTATAGCTCGTACAATTAGAGAAACTGAAATCGCAGAAAATGAGAAAAAAGTCTTGTTGATACTCGATTGGTATGCGATCAGTATGTTATAGCAGTCACTTACATGGAACGTGCAGTATTTCTGTATTTTATTATAGAACTTTTATTGTGAAAATAATACTATTTTAATATTTGTTAAAATATTAAATATAACTAAATATATCAAAAAACAACTGTACATGATGTTTTAATATTATAATACTTTGTATGATAATAATATTAAATTATAGTCATTTTAATATTAATATTATAATACTTTCATGTCTATAATATTAACTTAATAATAACTCTTTTGGGCATGGAGAAACATGTATATTGTGTTGGCTCACAGTCGCTTTTTTGAGCTTATTGTTATATATTGATATTTTAACATTTTAGTATTATTTTAATAACAATAATGGTATGCTTTTGTATATTCTCGTTATTTTCAATAATATAATTTATATGTCCAATTTTAACGACATTGGAAATTGAAAATGAAAACCTAAAAATTAAAAATAAAATATAAAATAGTAACAAAGGAATTAAAATTAACAACCGCGTAAAACAAAATACTGAAATGCAGAATACCAACTTACTGCAAAATAAATACGACACTTCAGAAGAAAATGCAGTATTACACTCTTCGACGTTTCTTCGAGGAATTTTCTATTCAAAACTCTCAGCTTTGATGATCGTAATTTTGATCGTATAGAAAATCACTTCTCATTACCATAAGCTTCATGATCAACCAGTGAACTACAATTTCCCGATTATCTCTCAGGATCCCAACGAACTGTACATTAAACACTTGAGCAATCGACTTTAATGTGATTCAGTTACGTATCAGGTTTCTTGAAAGTTTCTGATCTTCTTCACGAATGTTTCTTAAACACTCGATTTTGCTGAGGCATCTAATGCTATCTTCGTTCTGTGAAATGAGCCAACGTATTCGATTCTCGAAATGTCAATTGATTACACGAATTTGCCTAGGCAGCTAAAGTGAGGTTACTGGCCCCTTCCTTCCTCTTTTTTCCCGCGCGGTGCTTTCGCTGTCGATAAGATCGATCTGAAACCATAAAGAAGAGTCGATACTTCGCGGATACATCGCACGCCTAGAGTATTTATTAATCGTTACGAAACGTAACGTTGCAATGTCATATTAAAGGTATATAAACAACTCAATATAATACATTTTTATTTATACGTTATAAATTTATCTATCTAATTTATAACTATGAGTTTAACTGTATAAGATATAAACTTGTATCTGAAATTATAATAAAACTCATAAATAAATTTGTGAATAAAAATGTACCATGTTGCTAATAGGTTAGGTGAGTGAAAATGTAAAAGTAATTTTATGAGAATAAGATTTGCTTGCTTTTGACATTTGTATAATTAATTCCGTCTCGTATGATATATTTTTAAATCTAAATTTAATTATTGATTTATATTTTAGATAAATAACTGGATAAATCGAAATGTGTTATATTGTACTTGTGATTATGGAAATATAAAAAGGTAAATAAAATTTATTGATGTAAGATTATTTATACAAATAAAAACATATATTTATACAACAAATGTCTAATTTATATAAAAAATTTTCTAGCACATTAATTGTTAGAGATTTATTAACGAAGGAAAATGAAATAGAATAGTTAAAAATATTATGGAAATTAATTTGCATTGACAGGTATGACAATTTTTTAAGAGAAAATTATACAGTGATGCATTAAATTTGTATGATTTATGAAAAATGTCATCCATGTTAATTATGGAAATATAAAAGCTAATGTTGAAGGCAATTAATTATTTTCCTTACTTTATTAGACATGCAACATGAATGGCAGTGATATTATAAAACCTTTTATTTCTCAACGAACTCCTGGCAATTATCTTCGAGATGATTCCACATGAAAAGTTTTTTTTAATGCCCTATTGAGAAACCTTCCTTAAACGAAGGAATGAATATATAAAATTATTAATATCGTTCCGTTTTATCGTTTCTTTCTCATTGTCCCTCATTGCACGTGTCGATAAATAATTTTCGCACTTTCTAAGTAATTAGAAAAAAATCCCTTTCGAATTATTTTTTCTTCTTTTCTTGTAATGGAAAAATTTAATTTGTGTAACAGAATATTTTTAATGTATTTATATTAATTTATTGTTTCCAATATTTTCGGATGATCCTAACCCGAACTACAATTTTGAAACTTTGACCATTTTTTGATACAAAATTATATAGTGATTTCAGTGGTCTATACTGAAAAATTTTGAAACAAAATTTAAACTTTTTAAAAGAAGTAATAGATGATCTTGTATCTCGTTGTCACAAACATACAATGGTGTTAAAATATTATTTTCATTGATAGTTATATGTTCATTATATTTAAAGTATAATATATCAAATGGTCATTATACAGAATGATACTAATTAATAACTTAAAATATTTTTAACAAAATTGCATTAAATACAAGTTTTGCAATATAAAATAAGAGAATTATCTTACAGTATTTGTTTCTTTGAAGTATTCATTTTACAATCAAGAATTTATTTTTTAAATATAAATTAAAATTAAAATGTTTTTAATTCAGTTATATATATATATCTTTACAGGATAAATTTAGTTATACATAAATATTGTATGTATAAATACTTAAAATTAATGGTGAGAGTTGTCAAGGATCTGATGCGTTATTAAAGACCTAATCTGTTGACGTAATTATACCGTCATAGTGTAATATCAGATTATGACTAGGAAATTTTGTTATTAACCCAATGTAAAGGCATCGAGTTTCCCATAATATGTTTCAAAATATAAATATGAAGAAAAATGTTTTATACATGATTTAAAATACATAATACATAAATGAAGTTGTAAAAAGAACTTGTTAAAAATTACTAAAAGTAAAAAATATAAACCAAGAGACACGATACAAGTTAAAATTTCTGAAAAAGAGTGCAAAGTAGCAAACAAAAATTTAATTTAACAATAATACAGTGCATATTAAAATATTTTCCAACGTATATTATAATTTTATTGCATACTTTTAATAAATTAATTTAATTATAAAAGCAATATACGTACAGTAAAATTCAAATGCTTGCTATAAATTTTTATCTGAAAGTACCATGTATCATGTATCCTCACGCAACATACATATACATTGGGGTATATAACGAACATATAATTATATTTCATTTTTTTAATCTTTATTTCACTAAGATCATAGGGTTTCAAGCACTTCTTTCCAAGTTCAAATTCTTACGTCAAAAATATTTAATATCTCTGTTAAACAAACTTTAGTGAAACTACATCTTTAAACAATATCATTTCAAATAACAATATTTATAGATAGTAATGACTTGTAAGTAGAATGTCTTATTGTTGTATATTTATATCATAATCGATATATCAATTATATATAGTATATGAATAGATATATTTTTGTATAATATGTATAATATTTAAACAATTTAAAATCATTTTCTATTATAAAGTTTTTTTAAAGATACATATTTTATTCTAGATATTTAACATTCTTTTTTTTATAAATTATCACTCTAATCATATTTGTCAAACTATGTGAATATTTTTTATTTTTTATTATAAGAATATTATAAAATATCAATTGTAAATTACATTATTTATTTATTCAATAAACATATATTCTATATTTACATATATGAATAATTTTACAGATTCACATATGTGTATAAATACATTTTCAGATTCACATATTTGTATATATACTTTACATACAAATTATAGAAACACATAAAATATATAACTTTTTTTACATTCTCTTCCATTCATTTATAGAAAGGATCCTAACGTTGGATAATCATGCTCTATGTATATGCAAACACGTCGGAATAGGAGTCGCTTAAAAGTCGTTCACTGGGGAGTAGTGGAACACGATAATATTCCAAACATATTTTAAAATTTTTCTCAAAATTAACGACTACTTATATCACCTTCCTGCAATAAATCAACTTGTAGAAATAAATAATTTATTCTTCAAGACATTAGATGACCGATCACGTACTCGTATAATAAAGTCGAAGAATTTACAGATTGGTTTCTGAAAGGTCCATATATCATACAATGTTGATGTACTATAAAATATAATAGACATAAAATTTACATTTTCACTGTTCAATACACTATATGCCAGATATATTAAATTCATTAAAGCTGCTTCACAAATTACTGACAAAATTAGAAATTAACTTGATAATTAATTTATGTACTGTTAATTATTATCAATAATAAAAATTATTTCCAATTTTAGGTATTAACAATATACAATTACTAAAATAATAAAAAAATTAATTAATTTGTACGAATAAATTTCATGAGAATGAAAATTTACAAATGTACGTTTGGCGATGCACACATTTCACCTATAATTAACATCGTCATGAAAACGATAAAAAATTAGTGGTAAAGCTTGTGACGTAGCAAGTGGTTTACATTTCTGTCTAAAAATATATGTACTTCAAATGTACTTCAGTGACGAGCAATGTCCTTATGAAAGAAAATTATGCGAACGCGTCGGCGTATGCGTGGCCACGCAATTGTTCATACGAGAATGGGATTTGCGCGCGTATACCACGTGTCTTCCGAAGATGTCTACGACGACGGCGATGAAACGACGGATAACTATTTCATTGATTTACCGACGAACCGGTAAAACTCATAATCGAACGAGTTCGACCGTTCGTCACTTTCGCTCATCGCATTACTTTCTTCGAAATCAGGTATGCAAACTGTGCTTTCACCAAAAATCAATCGTGCGGCCACTGTCCGGTTCGTTAAAACGAATAACTTTGCTTTCCATTTTTCGTTATGTTCGATATTATTATATTATCACACGACTCACTTGTCTCCTCACTGTGACAATAACTAATCAAATCTAAAACATTTGCATCTATCATTAATTACAGTTCCGACGCGATGGTAAAAAGGCTAGGTTCCCTGAAGCTAAATGTTTTTAGGCTGTTTGCTAATCTGAGATGATTCGAGAGTTTACAACTTAACCTAGCAAGTGGACGACGGTAAACATTTATCTTTAATTTCTTTCACTTACAAATATCGTTTGATCACGAGGTACTCGAAAATACCTTTCCTTAACGTCAAGAAATATTGTTATAACCTTAATCAAGGTTGATATTCTGTTTAAAATTTTAACCTATTTTCTAACTAACGCGTATATCGATATCACACGATATTTCGTAACATCGAATTTGATCGGAAGCTTACCTTATTCAGTGATCCATTCGCCGTTTTAGGATTCCCAAAGTGCTCGACGAGGTTAACGAAAGCACGATCAACACGCACCGAAATAAAAATCTCATCTGTCGCTTTCACTTTTGGTAATCGAGCGATTTTCGGACGAAAAACCGTAGCTGAAAGCGAGCGAGAGAAACGAAGAGGGATACACGATGCGATACAACGCAACACGATTCGCGATAGAATCGAGGAGGAAGAAATCCGTGTAAATGCATTCGCAGAGGACGAAACACGTGCTTGCCCGTGCGCGAAACACGAGCAGCTCGTCGAAATCGCCAAGAGGCGTGCGTGACACCGCGCGAAACGCTACGTTGGCGAGCGACAACTGAAAG